AAAATTAAGTGACGAGTAGCTTCAAAAAAAGGCAAGATTGAGACTTCTCTCCCTTCCCCAGTGAAATACAGTACCTGCACAGCGCTTGAGTCATACTGGCATCTTTCACATTTGGATCTGTAGTAAGGCTCATGATGAGTACTGTAATCATCTGCAAAGGTATATGCTGCACAAGACTTGCCAGTGCAACAGAGGGTTCAAATGCAGTATCTGTAAGAGTTGAACATGCCATGTTGTAAGAACCAAGAACAAGCTCCTACTGGAAAACTATGCTTTATTTTCCCACCAGCTTTGTTGCAGCAATGAAGTTCTGAAGTGATGAACCTATTCCTACACCAAACATTACAGAATCACATACTAGCCAGGGTTGGAAGGGACCTCAAGGATCACGAATCTCCAACCCCCCTGCCACACGCAGGGCCACCAACCTCCCCACTTAATACTAGACCAGGCTGCCCAGAGTCCCATCCGACCTGGCCTTGAACACCTCCAGGGACGGGGCATCCACAACCTCTCTGGGCAGCCTGTTCCAGCACCTCACCACTCGCATAGTGAAGAACTTCCCCCTGACATCCAACCTAAATCTTCCCTCCCTCAACTTAAAACCATTTCCCCTTGTGCTGCTGTTATCTATCCTTACAAAAAGTCTGTAGGCTCCCTTTAGATACTGAAGGGCTGCAATGAGGTCACCCCACATTCCACCATCCCACAGGAAAACAGATCAAGGTTTCAATGACTTAAGTACATGAATAACACTTTCTGGTTACCTAACATCCCTGAAAGAAGGTGAGAGTCTACTAACTTGTTGCTTTACTCCCCATGGAACTGGTAAGTGCACCTAAATGCCAGCACCACACAACCATTCACTGCACTGCCTGCTAAGACTGAAGACAGAACATGTGAAATACTGGCTATGCTCAACCTCAGTAACTGGCCAGTAACTGCACTGCGTTGTAAAGTTTCCTAGGGGTCACAACTGTAGAAGAAATTACATTTGTTAACGCCATAGTACTTAGTAAATGTCTGAGGTCAGAAAGAAACGATGTAAAAATCTCATCTACATCCCTCAGGCAGCGTATCCTTCCTAAGTTTTATGTTCTTCTAGCTCTGGAGAATGAGCAGCCTGAAGGCCTGACGATATCCGTCCATAGGGAGGACCATTTCCCTCGGATACCGAACTCTAGCTTTATCTGTTAAGACATTCAAAACCGGTCTTCCAGCACATCTTACACAGTGTTACAGTACTTCACTCCTAAACTCACACACAGCAAGCTCCCAAACCAATCGAGCGCCACGACCCCCTACCTTCTCACCGGGGACCTCCGCATCCTTGACCATCGGTCGGCATCCGAGCACGGGCGCGAGGATTCAGCGGCCCCGGGGCAGCCCCGCGGCGACGCGGCTGCGGCCCTCCCGCTCCCTGAGCTCGAGCTCCCGGGGCCGGCGGCCGCCCCTTCCTCTTCCTCCTCCCCCTCCGACCCCGCCCCGCTCCCCGCGGCGGCGCTCACCGGCGGCGGCGATGACGGCGAAGAGCTCCTGCAGGGAGGGCAGCAGCGTGTCGGGCTCGGCCTTCCAGACGCTGCGCAGCAGCCCGCTGACCTGCGTCACCTGCGAGACGTAGAGGCGCAGCTCGGCCTCGCGGCTGCCCCGGCTCTGGAAGTGGGCGATGCTGCGCACCAGCTGCTGGCAGAAGGCGAGTGAGAGCTTCCTGCCGCGGGGCAGGCACTGCGGGAAGTCGCCCAGCAGCTGGCACAGGCGAGCGCAGAGCGGCGGCGCGGGCCGCTCACACACCATGCGAAGGGCCTCCACCTGCAGCAGCTCGAAGAGCTCCAGCACCGAGGGGCAGCTCATGATGAGGCGCAGCCCCGCCTGGATGTAGTCGAGGATGGCCGGGTCGCGGCAGCTCAGCTCGCCGTAGCCGCGCTGCAGGAGGCCGAGGACCAGTTCCCGGTCGAAGAAGGCCTCGAACTCGGCGCGATGGTAGCGCCCGTAGGCCTCCAGCACCTGGCGGCCCACCTGCCGCTGGAAGGCGTCGGGGCCCTGCAACACCAGCCGGGTGCCGAGCGCGAACATGGCGCGGCACTGCGCCTGGCTCAGCGGCGTCTCGGCCAGCTCCACCACCCGCCGCACGATGACGCGCTTCAGCGGCAGCGGGTGGGACGAGCTCACCAGCCCCTCCAGGATCTTGTCCATGGCGGCCGGGCGGCGGCGAACCGGCCCGGGCCTCGGCGGGGACTGCCGCCGTCGTCTTCGTCGTCGCCGCCGCCTCTCCGCGGCCCTCCCGTCGCCCCGGCGCGCTATGCCGGCCTGAGGGCGGCGGCCCCGCGAGCCGCTGCAGTACCGCCGCGACCCCAACGGCGACGACTGAGCGTTCCTCGACGACCCGGAAGCGAAAAGACACAAACAGGAAGCGAAGAACGGCGCAAGCGCCCGCCGGCAGCCTCCTTGTAGCGGCACTGGCCAATGGCGGCGCGGGGCGGGGCCGCGGTGCAGCGGTTTGCCTGTGCTGTAGGGGCGTCCCGCGGTTCCAAAGGTCTGTGGGCGGGATCTGTCCCAGTGTCTGTGAAGGTAAAGGTCGCGAGGCTGGAATAGAGTCGCAGCCCGTGGTCATGTAGGCTCCCCGTTGCTCGATGCGCGCAGCTCGCTGTTGGGCGCTTGGGCAATACTTGCAATTCAACGTCAATAAAGTCTGGAGAACGAGCCGATCCGATCCTTGGTGTCATTTGCTGCATAACAGGTGCAGAATCGAAACCGGCCTTCGGGCTGTGAACTTCAGGGAGTAACATAAACCGGCACAAACAGCAGAGCCAGCTGTAAGGCACCGCAGCTTCAGCACCACAGCAGTCAGAAAAACACAGTGCGAAACCAACGTGCTGAAAATTAAATTCCCCACCTATATGTTCCAGTGTTCAGTTACAGTGCTCAGATACTGTTCCCTTTCACCTCCGTGCTGCTGTGCTTTGCTTGCTGCACAAACGGGTGAGATCGCTTCCAGAAGACATTACGTTCCAGTGCAAGTTGTGTTGATCAAGATCTTTCTCTGAGGTAGTTACAAAGGTCAGAGACTATTACTACCAGTATCTTAATTACCTTTGTGTGTATTTCATCTTTTACCCTTGTGTGTATTGGAGTTACATCATCCTCTCCCCCCCCCCCTCCCCCCCCCATAGGACTTTGTAGTTAATGCCTGTAAAAAGTTAATCTTGAACAAGTGGCTGGTTACAAGTTATATAGCTTATACACCTCTGGAGCACAATGCTTTGTCTGCATTAATTGTACCAGGATTTTTTATTTTTTTTCCTTAAGTTTGGTTATTCGATGTCATTTCCATTCTCCCTTTGCAATTACTGATGGTATCTTTTGAAGCCAGAATGGGAGAAGAGCCTGCTCAGGAGTGCAGCCAAAACCCAGTATGAGAGGGGAAGGGTTGAAATCAGGTTGCTAGAAGCACAAGCTTGCAAAGAGACAGGGGGAGGATCACAGAGAGAATAGGAGAAAGTTTGGGGTTGTTAGTAGCTCTGAATTTCTCAGATATGTCAGAGTTTATGACAAAGAGAAACAAGATGGTCCTGCAGGACCATCTTCAAGACTTCTGGTGAGGCTCTTGACACAACATCTGCCCATTCCTTATTTGACCCCTGTGAACAAGTCTAACATGTTGAACTTGCTGCTGGTGTATAGTGATAGTCACATTGCAGGTACAGTGAATTTAGTGTCCCTGAGAGGAAGGATCTGCATACACCTGCAGTAGGTTTAAGGCATCTGGTGGTGAGCTAGTGGCTGTGTGTCTGCAAGTCTGCTCAATCTAGTTTTAAATGGGCAGCGGGAGTACAACGGAGTTGGTGGACTGGCCTCCCTCCTCTGTTAGCGTGCTGTTAGATTGGTTTTACTGTAACATGAAACTGCACCGTGAGTCAGGAACCTCTGAGTGCTAATAATGGCTCTGATACCAAGTCCACCTGTGGCAGCAGTCAGCTTGGTCAGCTGCAGGGTTGGTATCGGTGAAGTGTGCTTAGTAGTAACTAGGTTCTGGAGAGCACTGCAACGTTCAATTAGATAATGTTTACCAAGTATTAATTATTTTAATTTTCTAAGTGCTGATTAAAAATGCCTGAATGTTGAATCATCATGTTGTAATTGTGTACTGTCACATGTCCCAAAGGTGACATTCATGCAGTAAACAAGAGGGCAAGGTTTATTATCCAAAAATCAGAAAAAAAGAAAGCTCAGCATGTGCTCAAAGTATCTTACAAACTTGTTATCACAATGGAGTTATTTGTTGTTGAGGAGCGATGCTCTGATTTCGAAGAGCTGTCTTCTCTCCCATGGATACAATCAGCTATGATTCAGTTCTGCATATATATAATACATGTGTTCACCCTGTCAAGAAGCAACATCTGACTGGACATGCCTTTATTATTTATTCTGTGTTACGGTTTTACTGCTGTAATAGCCACTTGCAGAGATAGCAGTAGGAATTTAGAAGACCCCAATAGTAACCACCTTGAAAAAGAGCAGTACCTCTAGCTGCAGCCAAGTAACTGACTGCTAGCAGTCCCAATTGACAGCTGCATTCCTCCTGATATTTATCTCATTATATTCTCTGAAGAGAGTACCAATAGCAGTTGAATTTGTATTTGGATAATTGGAAAGTTAGCTGTGCACTGACCCCTCATTTGATTTTGTTCTTTGTGTATATCTGTGTGAAATTTAGAATTTAGTGCCACAGAGGATGGAAGGGTGTAAAAGCATCTAGACGTTCACAGCAACTACCCAGGCACAATGTACAATTCCTGTTTGATGGTGCATCAATTTTCAAATCTTTAACTGTATGGGAACTGCTGCATCAGGGCCTGCACCTCTGATTGACCACCTGAGGCGAGCACTGTGTCAGCCAGAGGAGCACAGCTGAAGGCAATTCGCCTGTGCTGCTGGAAGGGGTGGAGCCTGGCTGCACCTCTCCTAGAGCCATTTAAGAGCTGACTGCAACCTGAGGTAGTGTTTTTTTCTGGGGGGTTCTGCCTGTGGGGTTTTGTAGTGAGCTGTGGATGTTGGTAAGTGTTGGTAAGTGTTGGTAAGTGTTCTATTTGTTTTGTTATTGTAATTTGCTTTGTCAAACTTTTTGGTTTTTGTTGTAATTATAGCATTTTTATATTCTTTGTTTGTATGTTGGAAATCTAAGAAGTGAACTTTAGCAGCCTCTGGATTTCTTCTTTTTTTTTTCCCCCACTGTAGAATGTTTGCAGTAAGGGTCCCAGATATTTAAGTCAGTGTCAACTGTGTTATATTTACAATGTGTAAGGTTATATGTTTAAATGCGAAGAATCAAACTGAGCTATGTAAAATAACCCCTTTAATTTGTGTGGTTCTTCAGCTATTTTTCTTGTGTCAGTGCCTATTTAGCATGTATGTATTTCCAACACAGATACAGTTGGAGTGTGTTCTTATGAAAATGTGGTATTATGTAGGAATTCATATGCAGTGGTACATACTATCTCCAAGAAAAAAAAACAAAATGCTGAAGTTTTTTTCCAAGTACAGATTGATCTTAAAAAAAAAAAAAAATAAATAAATAATAAAAAAAATTAGCGTAAATAAAAAGAAATTCCTTTGGTAAATGAGATGTTTGATAAAGTTGAGATTCCTGCTGAGGAAATGGCTGCTTATAGAAATAGAGTAATACATCAGCTTGGTTATCTGCCAGAATAATAAAAGTAGATGGGTTGCAAGGTTATTTGTGACTCAGAAATCAAATAGAATATGGGCTGTGGAAGTCAGCTGTGATGCTATGGCAGAGCACAATGCATTCTTTATTGTATCTGCCCCCAATGATGTGTCAAATATTACACCATTCTGTAGAAAGATTCACTAGGTGAAGGAAAATAGGAAGCACTGTACTTCACTGTGTATTATACACAAATGCCCTAACAGTTTTTTCACTGTGATATTTCCATAATTTTCACTGTTGTGCATGCACCCAAATATGTATTCTAACTTAAAAGAGTATGACAACATAGTTCATTTTTAACAGCAGCAGGTTTAGCTTTAAGGTAGAGTGCTGTTTTTTTTAATCAGGTTTTAATGAGCCACTAGGCAGAACCAATACTGAAATTCTTACAGACATTGGCTGACACTTACAGTGTCTTCTGCTTAATGGAGGAGCAAATTAGTCATAAATCTAATATTTTTATTGCAGTTTCTTGAACGAGGAATGGAAGCCACCTTTTGAACTTAAGGGTTTCTGTTGTTTCCTTTTCTTCATCTTATCCGTGTGTATAAAGGGTACCCATAGAAGAATGTTATTTGTCCAAGAACATTTGCTTAGTAAATATCGAAGATACTTGTGTTCTTTTGGATATAGACTTTATAGGTAACGTTTTAAGGAATAACCAAATGCAGATTATCATTAAAAAGAAACTTGTGTGGAGAAATGAGGAAAAAAAGTAGTAAGTTAAGTTTCATGAAACAGGTTTATCCCTGATGTTGTAAGTCCATTGGCTTTATTGAGGTATGCTTTAAAATAGGTGCTTCATCTTGTTTGAGCCTCAGGATTTGCTACTATTGGAAGATATATATACTTTCTACAAGGAATGAAGCATCTCTGCTTACATTTTGTAGTTTTTCACGTATGGTTGTAAGACTTCTACTAACTCAGCATTTTGGCCTGTAAAAGAAATCCTTGGCTCTGAAGCGACAACAACAGAAAATATTTCAGTAATTCCTTGGACATGTGGCACAAATACATTCCATTATTTTCCTGGGGGACTACTGTGCTGTTTGAAGTGGTCAGCATTGCCTGTGAGTTGTCAGATCTACTGACAGGTGCAGGTGACTCCTAAGTAATTTACAATCTGCTACACCTTGGTTTGTGTATTATTTTTCATCTTGTTTTGCCTTGTGTTTGCTCCAGCATGTAAGATCCATGCACAGTTTTTTATCTTGAACTGAGCTCCTGGTGCTCCATTTTATGTAAATGTGTATCTAATATGAGTAGTAAATAAATATTTATTTATATTTATGTATATAGAACAGAGGGCCACTTCATAACCAGATGCCTTCTTGTTCTTTTCTTAAGACTTATTTTCTTACCCCATACGTGTAGTCAGAATTTTCTCTCACTTCTGTACTACTGTCATTACTACCAGCATTCGAACGTTTCATGGACTGTATGACTTTGTTTGAAATATTTTGCTAAAGACTAAGCATTGTTTATTTCCAGCTCTGAGAGCTTTATCTCAAGTAATGATTGTGATTTTTTTTTCTGCTTGTGCCCTTAAAAATCCAAGGTTCTTAAGTAATAAAGTAGTCCCATACTTCTCATAGCATCTTTTTGTTTAATCTTTGTTTAAGTATTTCTTGACTTTAAGGCTTCATGTCTCAATTTTATCATTATCTTTCTGTGTTAACCAGAACTACATATAGTGGTTCTGAACCAGATACAAAGCTCCCTTATGTTTTTTAACTCTTTTTTTTATCAGCTGGTTGCTTACTGCTGTGGAGTGAGTCTTTAATAATCATTTAATTTTAAGAGTCTGATAAGACATAACTTAGTATTTCTTTTGTCGTGTTCGTGATACTCTGAAATTTTCAGTAAAATTCTGCATCAGAAATGTCTAACAAAGATTCCTTTGATGTTCTAGCATCATTTTGACTGCATCTAACCTATGTTGCATGGTGGAGATAACCAGCTTAGTTCCAGCCTCAGCAGGTATGTCTGCTCATACCCTGTTCATAAAGCTTGCAGTGCAGTTTTTTTGTTAGTAGGGGCACAGCTGAGCTGGTGCAGCTTCTGACACTGCAGTTAGGTTGCCAGCAGTTCAACTATCATCTGTGCACTACAGATTGCTGTGGGGTAGATAGGTCCTTCATTGCCTGAACAAGGTCTTTTCAATCAGGTTAGTTTGGATTTTGGAGCAAAGAAAAGCATGGAGTGGCAGAAGCCATGTTGGAGTTAACAAGTATGTGTCTCTGTAGAAATGGGAGTGGGGGGAAAATTCATTAAAACTGTAAAGGTACAGAATGAATGTGATTAGATACACCTCATTTCCTTGCAATACTGGGTTAAGGGGTCTAAATTACAGCTCAAAGAATCTCAAAATACGATAGCTGGCTGGCTGAAGTTACTCAGTGTATACCATGTGCATGACAATGTACAAGGAATGTGGCAGCCCTAGGCATGGAAAAAAAGAGTATTTTGTGCAATATATAAGCATGTTTAATTGTACTAGTCAGGTGCAGTCCCACGAGCATAGGTCTTCCAAAATTGGAGCTACATAACAAGTGCATTATGTTGATCTTGAACAGACATCCTTAAACATGTAAGTGAGCACAATAAGGACTAATTTAGCCCCAATACACAATACAGTAATACAGAAGTAATATAGTAATGTAGTAAATGCAATTAGTTTCTATGCTCAGCCAGAAATGTCTATGTGTTTCATTGGTTTTTTTAAGAGTTTGCTCAGCTGCTTTTTCATTTACCTGTTACATTGTGAGTCATCTTGCTTATTGAATTCAGTTCAAGTATTTGAATATACAAAACAATATGAGTAAGATACATACTCTGAAATGTGAAATTGTGTAAGCTCATAGTTATTTGGACTCATTTTTAAATTTTGGCACAGACGGAGCCTGTGATAATTCAATAGTGATGGTGTTTTGTCTTTATCATAAACCCGGAGCTGACATATTCTTCACTTACAGTAGCTGCTGAAGGAAGCTTAGGTTAATGTGTAAAATAATTGGTTCTTTGAACAGTTGGGCACAGTCTCAATTAGTTCCGGTTTCAGTATCAGGTTTCTCTTAATCAGAGGCAAGTACTGTCTTTCTGACACTCTGAACACACTGTAATTGATTGGGAAGAATATGCTTTGAGCAATGCAGTGTAGAAGCAAGTTTCCTGACTCATTACTGTTTCTTGTTTCCAATCAGTATTAGCTCCCTTTCCAAGCCACACAACTGAATCATGACTGATGTGCATCTTGTTCTGCTACCCACTCTTAGAAAATATGTTGGTTAAGACACCGGAAATACCTGCATTCAAGCTGTGCTGTCAAACCAGGCATCCCTGCCTGAATGTGCTCTGTCAGATGTTTGTGAGTCCCACTCTCTACCTATACTTCACAAAAACCAGTGCTAATCAAAATAGAAGGCCTTCTTTAATACCAGGCCATTTTAAGTTTGTCTCCTAAAATCCTTGCAAGTTACGAATTGTAGCTCACAGTTTGCTTGTGGAATAGATATCATTGCAGACAGTCTAAATGATGCACCAAAGGCCACGAAATGATTTTACAGCACTTAGGACACTCAGAATTATGTTTGACATGATGTGGGAAAGCAATTTGATTCTATTTATTTGTCCACATTGCGTTATATTTTAAAAGTGGGTCCAGAAAACAATACCCCATGTTTTCCAATTGCTTTGTGAGTATCAGTCCTACTAAAAAAGAATAGGACGCACAAAATGAGTTTGGTGCTTTTGAAAACTGTCTTTTGCAAGCGCCTTGACATTTTTCTCTGATGAATACACATTTCACATGCTCTCATAAATCTTTGCAAAACCATCTTGCTCCCTTTTGCCAACTCCCTGCCTCCTTAAGCAGTACCAAATATCTCCTTGGCCTCCTGATATTCCTCCTTGTTCTACTGGCTTTGATTGCATCCTTTTTAGTCCTCTGTTCATTATCTCATCTGAGCTCATAGATACATTGGCAGCGTTCTAGAACTGGATTACTCTTTTCATGTTATGCTTTTACAGTAGGTTCTAGGACATGGCTTGCTCTACAGCAAACATTTACAGGAATGACAGAGTAATAATGTAACTGCTTTCCATGGTAGGGAAAAAAGTTAGTGTTCTATGTATGTAGATGTCTCTGGCAACATGTAAGTAGGGAACCTCACATAGGGACTGTGGCACTGCAGTGCTAAGAGAAGCCTCAGTATGGCTTGAAGATAAACAAACATCAGCTTGATAAGATTATGTAAGTGTTTTTCTGAGTTTTGCCTTGGTGTTAAATCTTGTGTCCTTACAGTAGGATAGCAGAGGACATGCCATGAAAAGATGCTTAGTTTAGTGGAACAGCATAACATTGGAAATAAGTATAGATAGGCATATTTAAATGAAAGTTCTTGTTAATCTGGAAAGAGTGAAATGAAAGTGCTTTTTGCTTAATTTTGGTAGTTAAGGTGGGGAAAATATAATTATTATAGTGCCAGTAACACACTTACATCACAATGGAAATAATCAGCATTGCTAAGTCATGAGATGATGTAGAGCATGAGAGTATGTGATGTGCTGGTGGTTTACATTGTCCTTTCTGCTTGCTGGATGACGTGGCACAGGTTCTTATTGCAGACAAGAAATGTACATCCAATTGTTGTTTTCTGTGAACATTATCACCATAATTAAGCCCTCCAAGCTTTAGGTAACTGAGAATTATGATTTATGATGCTTCTGGTATGGCTTTGTGTCTCATATTTATCTAGACAATGAGAGTACCACTGGCAGGAGCTTTCAGCTAACAGAATTGGATCCTGGTCTGAGCTGATTGAGTGAGACGCAAGTCTATAACTGCCTGTTACAGCCTGCCTTCTTCTCTTGAGTGGCTGCTGTGCCTTTCCCTTCACTCAGCTTACCTCACGCTGCTTCTCATTCTCCTGTTGCTGGTTGAGATCCAGGTATGTCTGCCTGAGAAAACAAAAGCTGTCCAGATCACCTTTGGGCTTGCCGTTGTTTAGCTTCCGCACTCTGTAATCTCATTTCTGAGCAGGATATTAGTAAGAGAACAGCACGCTCACAATGGTATCTTGATTATGACAAGTGCTAAGGGCTACTACTATGAAGACTCTAGTCTGCCTTAGCCTAGCTGTGTTGCCGAGTGTGATTAAGGCTCATGCATTTGTTTTGCCAATGCTGCACAAAGGACTGAAGTGTCTCACCTCATGGTTAACTGCCCATGCCACCCCATGTGCAGACAAGGTGCCCTGTTTCAGCACGTTGTAATGTAAATTGATGCAATTCATATGCAGGCTTCACAATTCCTTTTCTGTGTCTGGAGCAATAGAAATAACCTGCTTACTCAACAAGCCCAAACAGATATTATAATAATTATGAAGTCCTCTTCAGCTTTTGGGGTTGACAGTAAGAACCCAAGACACCCAGACTCCTTGTTTTAGATGCAAAACAGAAACAGCAAGTGAAAACTTGAGTTTCTAACTGGATGTATTGAGTAAGGTCTGTCTTGCTTGCAGTATCCACTAGCAAAATGCATAGCATCTTCAGGAAGCAGAATTAGAGCCACTTTTCCCTTTAATGTCTCCAGGCTTCTCTATTAATGTTAAATTTTAAAATCTGTAGATTCTGGGACTGAACCTTTACTGTGAGTTTAGTACCCCCAATTACTTTTAGCTTGGAAGAAAATGCATTTAATCTCAAAATACTCGACTACCAGTGTAGCAAACTCTGCAGTGAAAACTGTTCCTTTTCTATCTTATATTTCTGATGTGTTGTACTGAAAATAGTTCAAGAAATAGGTATTTAATATGAAGTGCATATTTGGGGGGGTCGAAGAAACCCCTTATGCTGTTGTTAAAATACCTTATCTTGCTTGTCATTAACATAATTAGTTACTTAAATCTCAAATTAACAGATTAATCCTAGTCATTATTCTGAATTGTCAGCTGAACTTAGGCCTTATTTAATGGTAATGCTATGTAAAATCTGACATGCCAGGAATATATAGCATACTTCTGAAGGGCATGATGATGATCAGATTTGTCTAGACATGTAAAACACGTTTTTGAGGCTGCGAATTCCTCCAATTAATTTTATGAGGTCTTGAGACTCATGATAATTTAGCTCAGATGAAGTGTGAGAATTAGAAATGGTAATAGTCATAAAGTTTTTTAGCAGGAAAGCCACTGCCATCTTAAAATAATAACACTTGTACTTTATTTCCAGTATTTAATGCATTCAGTGAGCTTTTTACTAATGCAGGTACTTGCCTGTCTGAGGAGGAATAAATGCAGACATGAGCTACTATAATGTATCAACTCGTTACTTAATGGCATACTTCCTGCCATCCTCTCCCTGTACCCATGGAACTATGACCTTTTTCAGTTCTTTAGCTTCTCTTGTTTTGATGCAGGGCATGTAGGCTGCAGTAGGAACCAGTGCAAAACTGCAGTTATTTCAATGGGGCTGAGGAACAGTGGAGCAGGCCTAGTAATCTAGGGCTTTTCATTGCGGGTCTGTTCAGTAGGAAAATAACACTGTCAGGAAACCAGCTTCTGAAAGCTGGTCGTGGATTTTAAAGTTGCAGAACAAGAGGTACCACAGTGCTGGTTTGTAAACTCTATGGCTGGAGGTGGCTGCCTGCAGCTGGTGGTGTGGCTAGTTCTGTGGTCAGGCTGTACGTTGCCGCCACTGCGAAGCTGTGGAAAAACGCTGCTTTTCGTGTCTGTCTCTTCAGTTTGCTTTGCTTTCCTCTGAAGTCTAATGAGCAAGCAGCTGGCAAAAACATGCCTTGGTGATGAAAGCTTCTTTATCTGAAGCACTAATGACATTGAATTTGTCAGGCTGAGACATTTCTCTATCCCAGTGTCAGTCTGGGGTGAGGATTCTCCATACCTCCTAATTTCCTCAAGTGGAAAAAGAGGCCTCCCTTCCTCCCAGAACAAATTACACAGACTGGAACGATTGCTTTTTGAAGAATAGATGAAGATGCTATAGATTAATGGAAAATGTTAAAGGAGGTTCTGGCAGTCTTAACTAGAGTATACACAATGTTTTGTGGGATGGGTGAATGAAGCAAATCTCTGAGCATTTTCAAGACTGTTCTTAGTGTTTCCCAGTATGTCTGGGGCTTCTCAGCATAGGGTCTACTTGTGTCTCTGCTCAGCTGAAGAAAAGCCATAGCCAAAGCTAAGGCACACGGCATGGTTTCTGCTTCCATCCTTATACCCAAGCGTAAATGTCTGTGTAATTCCACCTGGGGAAGGAAACTGAAAGTTGTCACTTCTCGGGTCTCTTCCTTTTGCAAAACCTTGATTTCTTCAGTTAGCTGGCTGCTTGCTTGCAGTTGTGCTAAAAATGTGGGACTGTTAAAAATGGTAGTCCCATCTCTTCTAATGAGTGCTCCAGCACAGAAGGTCTGAAGATAGAAACTTCTATACTGTGAAGTTAGTATCTGTAGTTCCCAACATCTGATGCAGTATGTGTGAGAGGGGGTTGGAGGAGGTTACAAATAATTTGGGGTTTTCATGTGGCTCCAAAGAGCAGCTGAATGTCATTCCCCAGGGAATACTGTTGGACCTCAGCATCATTGCCAAAATCACTAGCGGTTCCTTCTCTTTTGTGATGGTCATCTGGTGTGTGGGGCTTAGCAGACCACTGGATAAATTTTCCTTCTTTTTTTAGGTACTGAGTTGTGATACTCTTCATTACTTGCTGGAAGCTGGATCACCTCTGCACTATAGAAAGAAATTAAATTCCTTTTCTTTTAATTATACTGTTATAACCCCCTTACTCCAGTGTTCGTATAGGAATATATTAGTAATGGAAAATACAATTATAAAATCTCTTGAGTTCATGCACAAATAAAACCGTCAAGTAAGACAAAGTGTTAATAAAATCTTATATAACTTAGGGAATACTACTGTAATAACACTGAATGAAGAAAAAGCCGTACATAACTAAAATAAAGTAATATAATAAAAATAACGTAACCCAAGTTGTGTTACTTAATTAAAAACTTTTCCCTTAATGTCATTTGCTTATGTTCCGTTTCCACCAGAGGTCAGATTCATCCCTGGTGTGACTTTGAGTGAGTCTTAACAGATGGATTTCTGCCTTTGATGAGGACTACTCAGAATTTTTTGGTGCTCTGCTGCTAAAGCTCTGAGCATCCTCTCTTGTCAGCGGCATTAACCTGTTCTATAACTCTTAAGGCTTCTTAGCATATGTCCCTGCTTGCTCCTGCTGTTTCTGTCCTTGAATGTCTTCTAATGACGCTGGCATTCACATGGAAACGAAAGTATTTGCTTGAACTCAGGCTGCAGAGTCATTTGTTACATGGGGAATATCAGCATCAGTAGATGGAGCTGTACCACCTAATAGGAGCTTGTTTAGATACTCTGGCTACATCCATATGAGCACAGGCAGTGTGTTTGTTCAGACCAGGAATGCGCATGTGAAGCACATCCCAGTTGTCCCTGCAAACAAGGTGGAGGCAAGAACAGTGCTGTGTGATCCTGAGGAGATGGGCTGGAGTGTTTCTACTGCTTTTGGGAGGAAAATGCTGCTTCCCAAGTAGGCTTGAGAAAAAAACCTACAGGAGGTTGATCAGAAAGCACAAAGCCATATTTTGTTCAAGTATCACCATTGTCTCAACGAATCTGCCTGCTTGGCTGACTGTGACTATGAAATTGAGCTTTTTCAGTGCTGCCCCAAGAAGCATTAGATACAGAGGTCTGTATGTGCAGGTTACCTTTTTATTGTGTCTGTTTTCTAGCTTCTTAAGAAAATAATCAAACCATCACTAGCACTGATTTAATTCACTTTGTTTTTGTTTCACTTAATTTCGGTCTTATTCTATACGAATGCTGGTGTTTGGATGAAATAGCTGTCTGAAATGATTAGTCAAACAAAGTAGGCTAGCAGGAGCTATCTTCCTTAACTTGTAAATGTCTTGCTAGCATTAAAACTTTATTTCTGTTGGTTTTACTAGACCGTTTCACAGTTTTCAGTTCTGGTAGGCCACACTGAAATCCTTTTTCATACAGCTGCATCTCTGACTCTACAGCAGTTGCCCTATAATGTCAAGACCTGGTATTATTTTTATTGCTTTAATAGCTCTCAAAAGTCACAGTGTACCATACAACAGGCAGAGGGACTCATACAGTAAATCCTGTAACCTCTCTTTGTTTTTATTCTGCTCACACTGCACAGTATGTACAAACATAACATCTTATTTGCCCACTTCTTTATTGCATGTGCGCTGTGGGTTGATTTGTTTCATTGTTTCTTCCACTGTAACTGCAAAATCCTTCTCCTATTCACTGTGCTGGATGGTTGTTCCGTTTAGCACATTCTTGAGCTAGGTTCTTTATTTTCAGGCTAATTATTTCACCAAGTGTAATGGCTTATCTCAACTGTCATGCCGAACTGTCAACACCATTAGTTTGTTTTTTCTAACCTGCAGAAAAATCAAACCAAACATGCAACAGAAATAAAGAACATAAATTCAGAATGTAGAGGAAACCACTCATTTGGCTGTCCCTGCTACTCAAAACAGCTGACAAAGATCAGAGATCAGTGATGGAGCGCAAGGCTAGTCCCACATGTCTTTGCACTATGACTTTTCCTAGAGTCTCCCTTACTTATCTAAGTGCTTCTTTGACACAGTAACATCTGAGATGTTATTACCACCCACTCCTACCTGTTAGGTCACTTATATGAAAAACTGCTTCAGTGATGTTTTTTCTTAAAAACAGCTCTTTCTTTTTGCTGCAATTTTCCCTTGGGCTCTATGAGGTCTGTGTAGAAAGTAACTTCTCTCAATAGTTTTTATCCTCAATTTCTGCGGTAGGCATTAACTTCTTTCAAGAAATTTGTGGGAATTTCAGACTGATAAAGATGGCTTTTCAAGTCTTTGCTGAAACATATGTACTAAATGGTGTAGATCTCAGTATTAAAAAGGAAAACTAGTTTCCTTGCCAACCAGGTATGTGTCTTGCAACAGGCTGATCGAAGATGTCAGTATGAAGTCTTTAATTGAAAGATTATGCACTTGAAATGCTTATTTTAAGAGGCAGGTGAGAAGGACTAATTGCAGTTCGTCAGTTTTCTAAAGCAATGGAGATGGTGGTGTGTAGTATCTAATTTTTGCCTCAAGAGCTGTAGAAGGAAGCCAAGAGAGTATGTGCAGTCAAAGAAAGTAAGACTCTAGAGGATAAAGACTTGGATTCTATTTTCTTAAAGCCTTTTTAAACTATAGATCACTATGAAGAAGGCTTAGTGAGAAGACTAAGAAGGGAAAGAGATAACTCTGAAGTTAGAGTGAAAGGGAAATTTCAGATAAAGTACAATTAAAAAAAAAAAAAGGATTAATCAATCAGTCACTAAATCAGTTTTCCCATGGAAGTTAGATTTCCCTCTTTAGTGAAACTGGATGCCAGGTTGGATGTGACTTTGAGTAACTTAGTCTGATACTGAAGCTGAATGTAACTTTGCAGCTGGTGATAGTTTCTGCAGTGGACCAGATGATCTCTGGTAGCCATTTCTAACAGAAATTGTTCTGATCCTGTGGCTATAAAACATCTGGTAAGATAGTTGAGGTGAAAAAGGAGAAGTTGAGAGGGTGAAGTTCTGCTGCCTACTGTGATTTTGTCTTATCTTTTTTAATTTTGACTTGTGCTGTTTCAGAAAATTCAAGAAAACTATGTCTAAATGACTCGGATCCAAATGCTTACCGTAGTACGAAGGGCAGCACATTTAAAAAAAAAAAAAGTTAAGTATTTGTTCTCATTACAATGTGTTTTTTGAATCTTGTTGAATTTAGCACCATCACAAGCTAGATGTGTAGCAATACAATCTTGACATGTAGCAGCAGCATGCATGAGAATACACTATTTAAAATGGGTCTTCCTAAGAGTTATCTATAAAACAACATCAAATTACAGTATTTACTTTTGGCATAGTTGGATCTTTCTTGTGGAAGCATAACTAGATAAGATTTTCAGTGTCTTTAGTAGCTTGCTTATGTCTGATTCACGTGCATTCATACTGACTCTTACTTTCATCCATCAATCAAAGTAGTTTTTGGCTTTAAACTTGGAATTTGGGGATAGAATAGTGATTTAGATGGAAAGTTGCAGCTCAGAGTAGAAAAAGAAAGTACTGCAGCCATTATGCCAATTTCTCTTTTGATTGTTTCTTCTCTGTTTAAAAGTCTTTGAAAACAGTGCTTGAGATCCTTGGGCAAGGGCAGTATGCTGGTGGTCAGTGATGTAAAAATAGCAATGAGAGCATGCGCACATTGAGCAGTAGCATTGGTGATTCATGGTTCATCTGATTCTTCCACTTCAAAAAATATTTCCTTGCATCTCTGCATGGCATCATCTTACATCTTCTCCCTAAGATCCGCTGCATGAAGAAGTCAGTAGAGCATGAAGTTGTTCCATTTTCAACATAATAGGAATCAGTTTTTTTCTGGATTTTATATTTTTAGGGACTCTGAATGAGATCTGAAGCGTATATTGTACATTTGTGGTATTCCGTTTGCCTTTCTGCAGTACTCCATGCTGAACTAAGACAGGCTGTGTTAGACGCCATGTGACAAGACTCGTAGTGCTAAAAACTGATGATAATATATGCTCCAAGCAGCTTTTTTCTTAGAAGTGCTGTGCAAACATGGCAGCACATTTTAGCCTTGCGCATATTCACAAGCGAAGTTTATGCTGTCATTCAGTGACCAGCGTAAGGGCAACTTGCTACAGTGACACTTCAATGTAAATTTATGATTTATTAATGCATTTGAAATGCTCTGCTAACTCGCTTTCCTCTTCCTTTCCCTTGTGCCTTTACTATTTTATTCATGCATAACTCCTTTCTTCTTTATATGAAAGCATTCTGTTCCATACAAACTGTGAAAGCATTACTGTCAATGCGGTTGCTACTTCTCTGGTCTTGAATGAGGGACAAAGGCATTGGAAATGATGGGGAATAACTACTAAGAAGCAATTTTAATCTTCTTAATTGAATACAGCCAAACAACAGTAACTTAAAATGAAACTCCAGTGTAGTATTTCCAGCAGATGTTTATGGTTCTCTATCTGTATAGCTTAATGTTTAAACCAGTAAATACCACCAACTCTGTAGTGGCAGTTAAATGGAGGCTTTTTTACTCCTTGGAGTGATTCTTGATTTTCAGTATCAGCGGAAGTGCTGCTGAAAGGCAGGAGAATGCTTGCTGAGATCACTGTGCTGTGGATCTTGTTGTGAGACGTAAGGGATGCTCCAGGGGAACCCTCTCCAGCCAGGGCTTCTCGCTGGGCTGGGCTTGCGCTGCAGGAAAGGCCCTGAGTGCCATGCAGAAACATTTATTCTAGTAATTTTGCATAGGATCTGAGTGCTTTCTTTTCTTTTGAGTGAAGGATGTTGGTAGCTGACACATGGTGACACAAGCAAATCAGGAGCAATTCTGATAGTTGTTTTTCCAAGCGGAATGTTTGGCTTCTGGTCAGGGTCAGACACTGAGATTTCTGGTCAAAACTTAACCCTGATCCGAACACAGAGAGTGTTCTGCTGAGTGGAGGAGTACTCAGGTTTTACACGTAATGACAAGTATCTCCTTTCACCTGAGTAACCAGCTGACCAAAGAGAAAAAGGGTTAGAGCCCAGGGGTGGGAAGATTGACTGTAGCTCTCTAATTTGCTTAAATTTTCCCCAGCTTTATTAATTAAGGGATTTTCAGGAGGCAGGGAGACGAAAAAACTGTTAAATGAAGAGCTGCTACGACTGCTCTCCCTCTGTGCTTCTCTCTTGCTGACGGGCTCTCTCCTCCCTCATGGCTTAGGACTATTTCAGAAAGGCCCTCCAGTCCTCCTCTGTAATTGTTGGCTTCTTCAGTGAAGTTCTTATATAGCCTTGAAGCTAGTAAAATGCCTGCATCTGCAGCCCTG